ACGCTTGTTTTTTTTCTGCTGATAAACCCAATCTTACGTCATAAAATTTATTAGCAAATACCACATGATCTTCTCGAGTAGCAATTACAATAACATCGAAATGAGACAGGAATCAAAGCACCGCAATCACGACACAAGGTTACGAAAGAACTACGGTTAAGAATGACAACAGCATTAATTTTTTACGACTACTTCATCTTCATCTTCAACGTTTTCAGTCTTCTGGATCGTTACGCCTTCTTTGGTAACACTGCTGCCTTCGACCATGACGCGCTTTTTCTGAAAATAAAAAATTATTGTTACCAGGATCGTATAAAACAAACGAATTACCTTTGATGGAAGGAGCATGGACCTATCAGGGTCAAAATGATACCTCCCGATGTCTTCCCTGCAAAAATATAGTTCAGAAGTATCGCTTTCCTTATGAGAAAACTCACAAAGCTCTCCCATTTGCTATCCTCGCCTTACCGCTCCATACTACTCTTTCCTCTGAGAGGACGTCGAATAATTTTTCGCAAGCGTCGTCATTTTCGGCTAAGTCCAACCACCACCTAAATTCTAGTGCACATGAAGGTCTTTCGAGAACATACATACTTATTTGGATTCCGTTTATGCTCATCTGGCGTCCGCAGAAGTTGGTCGCGGTGTAGGCCAAGGGCGTCAAGGATGAAACCTAAATCAGTTATTGAAAGTAATGTACTCAAACACACATTGACCCACTTATTAAGAAATCGACTAATCCTTCCGGGAGGTCCTTAAGATGGTCAAATTTCTCCTTCTTCCCGCTCTGTCTACAGGAGTACTGTTGAATTTCCGTGGGTGGTTCGCAGGCCTAAACAGTGATTACAAGACGACCTTATCATCTTCATCTATCTGTCGCTTACATTTAGAAAGAAGTGGCGCAAAAAGTCGAGCACCAAAAGGAAATGATCATGCTTGTGCGCGCGTTTTGGTCTCTGCCACTTTTCCATGACTTCAACCATATTGAACTCCTGAAACCAATAATTTTTCCTCGTTGACTGAGAATAGTGGCTAAAGACCTTGAAGGGTGGTGCACTCTCACGATGCCAGATCAACGTGTTTTTATATTTAGTATCAAACTATTTATGAGCATGTGTGGCAGTTTATCACAGAATGCTCAAAACACAATAACGTGATTCAAAAAATTGCTCTGAGCTTGCTCAAAGCCTTTGCTCCTTTCGAGTGGTTTGCGCAGAACTTCGCATGGACCGAACTTTCTAGCTAGCTACCCCACTACCACCTGCGGCGAAAACATAATTGCAAATGATGAATAAGCTTCCCATCAAGTATCCATGTTGATTGTACCTGTTTTACATGTTTTTGATCCAACTGATCTACCAACATTGCCCAATTCAGAACTTTGCACGATTTTTCCATTATCTCCGAGATTTGATGAATTAAGTTGCAATGAGGGTTTCCTTGCCTTAGGGACCTTCTAATATAACCTTAAACAACTTGCAAAGATTGTGGCTGCAAAAGTGGTCCGAACTCTTTACCACTTGCTCCATAGTCTCCGCAGGTATCCACTCGACCACCCGTCCACATCTGCATGCCCTTGGCGCCGCAAGCTCAGTGCGAGCCTTAGCCGCATCTTGGGTAAACCATCGCTCATAACTTTGCCCAGAAAATCATTGAGCAGCTAAGGATCACGAATTTGGCATTAGGGCCCCAAGAGCAGCAGAATGATATGCATCATGTGTGGAAACCCCACTTCGATGGATGATCCTTCCCTTGTAAGTAAATTCCGAATTCCGGCTAAGCCAACTGTCAGAAATGATGACGTGGGGATGAACAATGTGCATAAACTCTTTCATCTTCCGAATTGAGTACAAATCACTGAAAAAAAAGGCGAGAGTCAAATGAGTGATTTTTCTAAACTCGTGAGATGCGGTACGATAAATGTGAGCTATGCCAGGTAAATTTTGAACTGGAATTGTGTACTCTAAATAATATGGAACTGGAACCGGCAATATTGATGCCAGTTTTTGCACAGAGTTGAACCGTAGATGACATTCTTCATGTGATGAAAAATCTGCTTTAAGAAGTTCAGAAAAAGCATTACAAGCAACCGCAGTTCTAAAATCGCATAACCTCCAAAATTTCGAAAATGACTGTCTTGTAAGCTCATACCATTTTAAGAAATGAGCAACCGCAAAAGAAGAACATTACTTTCTCAGTTTCATAAATAAAAACATGCCTTCTCATTCAGCTCTTGCACGGCCGGAAGATCACTGTCCACTTGTGAATCGACATTCTCGCGGCTTTCATCATTGTCATTAACATTCTCTTCTTCCTCTTCTATAAAATCCTGGAATGAGCTTATATCATAGGTGAATCATGGTAATCATAATGCGGAAACTCTTCCGACCTCCTCAAGAACAGGATTATGCTTAGGTCGGCGTTCCCTTCTTGGCTTCGGGGATCGCAACGCAAAATCGTCACCCCATTCGTTTTCGTAAAAGCGCTTGAAAACCAAAATAGTACACGTTAGCATAAATACTCAAAGTCCAGTAATCAGCTAAAGTAAGCAAGCAAAACAATCTAAGAATGAAATATAACTTCTAGAAAGAGAGAAAAAGGGTTCACCTTTACTTCCGGATGATGATCAACGCAGATAATGGCCGTGTGATCAGAAGGACGCGTTCGAAATGAGCGTCTCAAGCTGATTCTCTTTGGTCTAAGCCTGGTTTTTATCGGCATGGAACGTCTCTGGAAAGACATGCTTTGCTAAGTATAGATTCATCTAAGAAAAAAAAAACAAATGCAACAAATGCAGGGAAGAATTGATCAATACGTCGACGTATAGGTGCGTTATTTCGAAACCTCCTCGCCCGTCGCGACAAAATCGCACCAAAATCCGGACGAAACTAAAATGATGGCTCGCGCCGGTCCACCGGATTTTGCCGCGAACGTCCATTTTGTGGGCGGATCCCCTGCGCGAGTCAACCGCGAGTGTCTGAGGACCCGTCAGAGAAAGCATGCCGCAGTATTATAACTGCGAGGGTCCCGCAACGATTTTGCCCCTCTAACCATGGCGGGACGTGGTCCAGTCGTCCAAATTCAAAATGGGAGGTTTTGGGAAATGGTGGTTTTTGCCAATTTCAGGGTGAGTCTTCGGAATCAGCGCCTCCATTTACCCCAGGCAAGCAAAAGAACGCGAAGTCGAGAATCTGCCGAGCCGCTGCCTTTAAGGATGAACTCGAGAACGAGCGGGCTGCGGCGCACCAATGGGAGTACGTACGAAGTGCTGGCACACTGGCGTTGCACGCGTTACTATAGACGTGTTTATGTGTCGTCGAAGCTTTGTGGTAAGTGTAGACATGACTGTAGGACAGAATTCTAGTTCTCTTTTTTAGGATGACTGAGATGTTTAAGATTTCTATGCTTGACTTAGAAGTCTGCATTACGCATTTGATCCATATAAACCAGAATAGGGTTGTCAGATCACTTACTCCACCAGCAGCGCAAAAGCGGCTTTGCAGGCAAGATCGTTATGCTCATTCCAATTCACTGGTACGTTTCACACCTGATGGCACATGTTCAGGCAAGCTATAAAGCTCTTCGCCCATTATGGTATCTTAGCCTCTCCAGAAAGGGATCGTGACTCCTTCGTGGTAGTCGCACACGCATTATCTTTGAAGTCAGATTTTCTAAACTGGCTTTGCAAAGAAAATTTGGAAGTAAGAAGGCACTTCGTTTTTGCTTTTCCAGGCTTTGTTGCATTATGCAGTGCCTTTTACAGATACAAACTATGTATCGTGCTGATACTCAAACGATCGAGAAGTGCCTTCACTATACCCTAGCTGTATGGTATACTCCTCACTGCTTCTACTCTGTCGGTAAAGCTCTTGTAAAAGGCCCGCTTTTTATTGAAACTGATAATATGGAGGTGGCTAAAGTTGGTGGGTGTTACCTTTCGTGTTTCAAACTTTTTCTCAAGTTGATTTGTCTACACATGACGGATTTCAGACTATAGCATCCACTGCACTTCTTCCGGAGAAGTGTTTATTAGAGCGAGTGCTGAGACAGTTATTTTGCCATCCCTGGAGAGCCAGCAGATATGTGGTCCGCTCCCTATACCGCGAACTGTTCGTTGTTTACCCAAGTAAGTACCTGCTGAACACGACGAATTTTTTTTTACTACAATGGGTTCAAAGGGTTTGATCGTATTCTTTATCAAATCGTGTAGCCGACTCTTGGCATGCGAACTAAGCGCACGATATCTCACAACATGTTCTAAATGAGAACTTCCCATCAAGGCAGGCGCTAAACTCCTCGAGGAGTATAGCATGGCGACGATCGATATGCATCAAATACGTGCAAAAGCGGCGAATTTTGTCGCCGATATTGGCGACTGCACGTTTGATACGTATCGATTAGACGTGTGGTAACTTGTTAGCGATCGATACGCATAGAAGACACAGTCGCCAGTATTGGCGACTGGCGATCGCCCGTCGCCATGCTGTACTCCTCGAGGAGTATAGCGCCTGCCTTACTCGTTGCCGCACGTCGCTCATTGGAACTGATCATCAAGCAGATGTCGGCTTAATCATTTCAATTTATTTGATTTCCTTTGTCATTCTTTTCAGTCATTTATAGTTATGACGCAGTCTTATATACGGTCTGCCTCAATCCCAACTAGGCCAAAATTGGCATGGCGGGGGTCCTTGTCGCGAGGGTCTTGCGTCACGTCTACAGCTAGCCAGTTCTGTCCTCAATCTCTTCGCTCTCTGCGATAGCGCGAGTGTGCAGCGCAGACCTCCAGCGTTGCGAAAGCGCAAATTCAGCTGACATTTCGGCCTGATCCCGATTGGGGCACACTGTAGTTGGTTTGTAGAGTCCCGTACTGAAAACTCAGACGCGTGTAAGATATCCATGCTTATGCGAAAAAATAACGCATAAAAAATGGTTACAGAGTGCATTCAAGTCTGCGCCTTATTCTGAGGGTAGAGGACCATATGGGATGTGGTACGGATAGTGAATCCCAAAATTTTGTGCCTTTCAAACTCTTCGGTGCTAAAGTGACACGGCGCCAAGGTAGGGGGGTGGGGGTGAGGGGTGGGCAGATACATGACTTCATGCCAAAATTAGAATTGTAAAATTTAGCAAGAGCGATTACACTGCTTGCATTTTGCGCGCATTGTCGCCTTCTGCTTGCCCTCCGACAATATGTCGCCGAAAAGAGGCGGTCACCGCGGTCATTTGCAACACTGTATATGCACGGAGATGCGTTCCTGCAAGAAATCCGCGACCCTCACATTCGGCGACATATAGTCCTCCGTTTCCTGGCGTCCCTTATATGCGGACTGTTCAAGGATGAGGAGTTATGAGTGTTCATTGGAGCAAAAAACCATGTTCGTTTGGGGTAGAATTAGCTACTAAAGTTTTGATAAGGCAGCGGAGTGTGGATATAATCTTCATTGGGTTTTCATTGCATAAGTGCTCTAGTCATCATTGCTTCTTCCCAGCTCTAGGAGAAATGTGTCGAGTATTTATACCTACTTGCACATTCTTTTTTTCTCTAATAAATAGTAACTCCTCGTGCACAAAAATCCGCAGATAAGGAAGATTTGGATTCACCGTTTTATGATTCGAGATGATTTACACCACAATTTGAAAAAACTTTGACTAACCATCCTTTCCTTGTCAGCTTATCAATTGCAGTGTCGGGTGTCACCAGCATCCCACTCCCGCGCGGGACTTGCATCTCTTCCATAAACATGCTCTCTGATCATGTCCGATTGATTGAGGCTCCGTCCTTCCCACGGTCGAAGTGATCAGAGAGCATGTTCGCGAAGAAGATGCAGAGTCCAGGCGAAGCGCCTTGCGGGAGCGAGTTGTTGGTGCACCCAACACTGCAGTTGATAAGTCCTGTACCTCTCGCTTCATGGGATTGCCTCGGTTTGAGTCTAGACCCTCACATCGACGCTATTTCCTCTGCACGCTCACTGATGGAAAAGAAGCAGAAATTGCTTGCACTTCTTGAAGTCGCGAAATTTTTGAAACTCACCTACATGGGTTTTAAAAATGTGCAAATGACTTGTTTATTTTTTAAACAATTAAAATGATTTTAAAATTTTTTAAAAGTTCATATTAGCCTTGTAAAAAAATTTTTCGGGGGCGTGGCTGACGCCACCCCTCTTTTTCTAGATTTTAGGGGTCTAGGGCCCAAAAAATCTTAAGAAGCACCCCAAAAAATTTTTCGGGGTGCGTGCCTAACGCCACGCACCTTCCATTTGAAAAGAATTTTTTCCGCCCCCCCCCCCGGGGCGGAAATTCTGATATCCATTACTGCAAAAAAAGGATGTGGCATTGTTACAGATCGCAAAAGTTCCCCTGGACAAAGGCGCAAAAGCAATTTTAGTTGCGCGGGCGCAAATGCAGTGCGCGCGCAACTAAAATTGCCGTTATTCTGTACCTCAGGCGCTCTGCGGCTAATGAGAGCGCCTTTGTGCCCCGCTTTTGCGCCTTCGTTCGGCAGCATCCTATATGCCCGTTACTGATGATGCCTGTCAATGCTTGATTGTAAGGTCGATGCGTTGACCGCACCTACTGTCCAAACTTTGCGGACCACGCGCGGCGCGGCTGAAATGTTGCGAGAGCAGGAGATGTACTACAATGGCGAATTTGTACTGGGGCAAGCGTTTAACCTCTCGGCGCGTGCTCGACATTGATGTCCAGCGGGGTCAACGAATCCGATATATAAACTAGACCCAAACGAAACGAATGCCCATGAAAAAAAAACAGTGCCCGTGCAAAATTGTGCAGATAGATTCTCGCGCGAAACTGATGAGAGGTTTTTGAAAACCTCAAGCGCAACGCATCATGCATGGCTGAGAAAATCAACTCTGAATCTTGCAAATCTCGCATCGGTACAGTATAATCTAGTGCGAACTCGTGTAGTGCCATCAAGAGCCCGACCCGAAGTCCCCCCGCGAGCATGCAACATTTAGGGGTAAGCATAGCGACGTGAGAATGGCTGCCAGACTGATAGCCCTACCCAGTATCACAAAAGCAGTTGACTGGCAAGTGGTAAGCATATGAACGTGAATGCAACGTTTAATGGAGATCAGTCATACTACTGGATAAACGCACCAGCTGGAGTAGCGGAGGCGTACGATTCGACCGTTTGGTAGATTGGTAGTGGAGAGTCGTTCCGAAATTTCATCTTGGCAGCATCCTGAATACATAGGTTATAGCTACATGGATATCGTTTTTGGCAATAAATATCTTTATATTTTTGGCAGTAAGTGTCTATATATAGACATTTAGCCTTCTACCAGCCCCAATATTTCCAAAAAATACCAACTTCAGCATAAAAACCTGGGAAAGGCGGTATTGTCGTAATTTTGATTTGGCTAGACATGAAAAAAAACAGCGACTATATTTATGGAGACACAACCACTGTATTTATGGTGGTCCGATGTATATATGTGACGGATTTGTAGTTCCAACTTTTAGGACTTTTGGAAGTAGATTCTTTTTGAGCATCCAAAAGATTCTCAGTTTTGTTGTGCGAAGTTTTAGAAGCCATCTACACTTTGCTTTGCTCTGTCGTAGTCACTTAGTTTTGATTTCGGTATATAGGTGTGGGCAGGGTTGCGATGGCATCTACTTACAAAACTCAGCTCTGAAGCCCATAGACAAAGTTTGTACATGGACTCATGTGGGCGATCAAAAATCCGGTGTTAGGGTTGGCTCAATATTGCCCCACATCATCATGCGCTGTTTGGAAGTGTCATACAAGTGTTATTTACGATTCCGCCCATTCACAAAACCTCGTGCTTGGTCTATTTCTACTTCCCGGCACCATATCTATTCGTCCGTAAGCACGACATAATGGTCAACTTACAACTTGTCCTTTCTCTGACAGCAGAGGGTACTTGGCAGCCAGCACCATTTGTAGTTCGATGTGTGATGTTAAGTCCATGTAGCGCTGATTTCGAAACTTCCCACTGTCTGCGGAGCGATTCTGCGAAAGGAGAAATTGTGAGAAAAACTCAGCTGTTTTGAATTATTGTAACTATTGTCTCAATCAAAACACATGTTTTGCTCCATAAAGATCCTCTTATGAGATGACAGAGGCTCTACGCATTTACCACCAGGCCATTTTCTCGATTTCTGCCGTTTCGGACATAGGACATGTGTGCCAAGTCTCCTGCTTCTTTTTCTCGATCATCGATGGGTTGTATGGGCGGAAAGGTAGACTTCTAATTAGTCTATCTAAATTCCAGCTTGTGCCGAAATCTCATGTAATTTCATTGTAAACTTGCAGTGCGATGCACCAATGGGTCGTATTGTCCGAATTGGCAGTACACGTACGACCCACTGATGGGCCGCATTGTCGTGAATTTGTGCTGTATGTTTCGTTGAGCACATATCTTATTCTTGTGACTTTCGATCTCGTGACCAATTATTTACATTACAATCGCCTAGAATGATTTTAAGCTTGATCGTGTCTGTTTCCGCACACAACAAAGTAGATTGTACAGGGTGTCCCAAAAGTATGTATCGAACGTTTGATCGTTAATATCTCTCTTCCCAAGAAGTCTTTTGCCTTGCTTCAAGTACCATTTTGTAGAGCTGGCTTCAACTTAGATTTGTATTAAAGAACGAATCACTCATCTCTCTTCATTACTGTAGGATTACGGTAGAAACTTGAAACATATGGTGTCAATGTGGAAAAAGCTGCAGTTCCAAAATTCTTCAAAAAATTGTGAAAACTTGTGTAATAGGGTTTTTATGGATGCTGAGTTCAATACTCAACTATTCACAAGATTACAAAGCTTTCTAAACGGTGTAATCGCACTTTTTAGGAACATTGAAAAAATGGCCGCTACCTCTTACCTGGCATAACTCCTCAATGAAGCATCATAATAAGTTGGGAACTTTACAGTTATAATCAGCAACTCTAATATCTGCTCCAAGACGAAGGCGGTCGCCCAAATAGGTTGAAAACATGCAAAGCTGCGGCGCGCGCGCAATTGTCAACCACAGGGCGCGCGCACGCTCTGTCAGCGGTCATTCAGGCAAGCGTGCGCGCGACCCGTGGTTGACAATTGCCCGCGCGCCGCGTGCGCGTCAGCCTTGCATGCTGTCAACCTATTTGGGCGACCGCCTTCGTCTTGGAGGAGATATTAATTAGCTTAGGGCCGCATGCACTAACCTCCCCGCGGGGAGGTTAGTGCATGCGGCCCTTAGTGTAAAAGTTTTCACTGTTTTGTTCCCTTTCTGAGGCAAAATATGGCCTTTCATTGCTTAAAACCCTCTTTGAAGTTTCTACCGTAATCCTACAGTAATGAAGAGGAATGAGTGATTCGTTCTATAATGCAAATCTAAGTTGAAGCTAGCTCTACAAAATGGTACTTGAAGCAAGGCAAAAGACTTCTTGGGAAGAGAGATATTAACGATCAAACGTTCGATACATACTTTTGGGACACCCTGTATAAATTCTCATGAGGTAAGTTTTTTTGAATATCATTTCCAATAGATTTGGTTCTGCCATAGATCGCTCTCTTAAACTGCTTAGACAAAAATTGTACTTTAATGTGCTTGCACAAGATCTGTTAGTGCGCCATGTTTACCTTATGTTTTTAGGGAGCTAAGCTAATATCCGGATTCCTTCCAAACTTTCAAATTCCACGTTTACCTTTGGCACATTTTCGTCTGCCTGCAACTACGCTTGAACTCTAGAAGTAGCCCCTAATGGATCCTTATACCAACAGCATTTCCATGTTTGCAGCCTCGGAAGAGGGCAACTGATGGCGGTGCTCGATAGCATTCCGCCGGATCATCTCTTCTCATACGAAGAAATGAGATTCTACTGGAACAATTGCGTGAGTGCTAAACTTATTTTTGGCTTTTGGATGTATCTAGAATAACAAGAAAGTCGTATTGCTGCTATGTCTCAAGTTTTTTTTTTTATTCGAGTACGGATACGACTTGCCATTGGAGGAGCCACGAATATATTACGAAGTTCGATTTGGTGGCCTCGGCACATTTCTGTGAGTGTGTATAGACTTGCATACTCTTTTTTCATTCTTCAAATTTCGCAGTTGTTTCAGTTATCCAGATTATTGCGTTCTCCAATCCAAACCGTTACCTCTGAAACCTCAGTACGCTCACGTATCCGCCGCATCTGCTCTGGAAGAGTTTACATCTAAACTACTCGCTGGAAATCGCATGATCTGTGGCGAGCGAGTCCAGTGTAAGCTGACTGTCGAACGTTTTGAGTTGCAGCTGATCGCAGATAACTGGATTGCATCAGTTTTAGTGACTGGGACCGGAAATTTCCCCCATTTGCCTGCTTCTCCTAAAGGTGGTTCAAGCAGAAAAGTGAGTCTTGGTGAGTTTATAGGTAAACATACAAATCCTTATATTTTTCTGTTGAGAGCTCATTCAAAAGCGAAATCAAAACAATTTAGCTTGTTTCCGAGATCAACTGCTACATGATCTGCGATTATTGCATCTTTTCTTTGCTGAATTATCGCACTCTAGAAACTAGCTCTGATGACGGTTGCGGAGGTTCTATCAGTGTGCACTTTCGCTTTTTGCACATTTTGTCTTAACAGCTGCACTTACAGCTTGTGTGTTTATTGTCAGCTGCCTGCCAGTCCCCGCTCCAATACCTCTCAAATGTGATAACTTCCTGAACTCGTTGGCTGTGACAATATTGCCAAATAAATTGTTTTAATTCTAGTAATTGTTTTTAATAATTTTGGTATATGTGAACTTTTTTTATATGAGTAAGCATGTTACAGATTTTGGACCGTTTGATTCATTATATTCTGGTTCTGACGTTCCACTCAACATGCGCCCAATATCTGGGACCAATATTTATGCAAAGGCGGGTGCAGCTCTATTCACTTCAATTTTTTTTTCGTTTCTTCGATTCACTTCAGTCGCTCGATTCATATTATACCTATTTATCAATTTTAGCCACCAGTTTCTTCTGAAACTCCGGGAAAATCTGAGATGCCAATAAACCATCTGACGTGTGTAAGTTTTGAAGTCTTTGCAAATTTTGTGTACATTTTTTTTTCGATATGTCAACTCTGATCTTTTGTTCATTAGGGAAGTTGTCTCCTGCAGATTTTGACAGCATAATTTTTTTGCCCCAAATGCACTAGAATCGAGTGAAAGATATTTCCAACACGTTGTAGTACTAGAAACGATGCAACAATTGGCTACAATATGTATTTTTCCGACAATTTCATACAAGTCTTTGGATTCATGGTGGTTTTTCTGTCTACTCAAAGTAGCGTTTTGACTGATCCTGCTACCATCGCGTTTACCAAAGGGATTAGTCCAAACTAAGGGATTAGTTGAAAAGGTAAGGCATTGATGGATTGGTTACTTCAGTAAAGGGTATTTGTCGACGACTGCCCCAAGTAGTGCAATTACACCACCGTGAGCGTGCTTTTTTGGAGCCTTTCCAGCTTGACAGTAGGACAGGACACGACAGCGGAAGGACAGAAATGCTGCTAGCTACCTCGCGCGCTGCAGCGTACTGTGAGGCTGGAAAGGCCTCCAATAAGGCATGCCCAAGGTGGTGTAATTGTACGAGTCGGGGCAGTCGTTTACGAATATCCTTTACTTAATGCCTTGGTTATCTTTCGCTAATCTGATATTTTCATCACTCTTGGAACAGGCACAAGACCCCTAAATGCGGTGCATTTTTTAGTTCCTAACCATCTTGCGAACTTTCAAAGCAACTTTTTTGGAACTCTAGATTGGCAAATATCCTTTGACAGTCGGTTGCACTGAAACTTGAGAGAATCAGGTCAAATAAAATTAACGTGACTATAGACTCGTACGAAATAACTTACGATGAGATACAAGCCCTTAAATATAAAATCAGAGTTTTGGGTGCACGTTCTAGGTATTCAAAGCAGCACGGGTGATGCATGAACGCTTCATGGTATTTGGAAAGAGCTTCATAAAAAACCGCAAACTGTTAAAATGTAGCGATATGTGCTTGTCATTTCTGCTAGCCATCTTATCTGTGAAAGCCCAAAACCACAAATTCCGAAAACTAGCGAAATTCAAGGACATTTGTAAGTCTGTTCTGAAAACTTGATATTACATTTGTGGAAGTTGCATGAATCACAAAAGAGAAATGGAAAAAAAGGAGACGCGGTGAAACATTCCCAGACTGTTTATCATTCTGTAATCTGTACACTTGGCAGTCTGTCAAGAAAGCGACTCTATCTATTGCGACCTAGCTTTTTTTATCTGCTGGTCTTTCCGTACTTTTTAAGGCTTTGTTCTTGCCCTAGGAAAGTTTATAGAGAAATCATAGTAATAGAGAGAAATTTTGTAGTTTTTTGTATCAATGCACCGCGTAAACACCCGCTGCGCGGTGTTCACGTATTAGCTTGTTCGGAAGTCAATTCAGGTTTTGAATTCCAGCTGCAATAAGTCATACACTTCTCATTTCTAAGTAGGTTGCAAAACGCCATTCGATAGAGCAAAGCAAGCTCTACAAGATGGCGATCTTGCTTTAGCAACAGCTCTGGTCCACCACGAGTTTCGAGCCAAAAACTAAGGCCCGTATGCACGTACATCCCCGCTGGGGAGGGGAGGGGATCTGAGAGGGGATGCGCCATATCTCGCTACTTTACGTATCTTTCTTCTTCCTTTTCTATCTTGCTTATGAAGGTTCTCACACCCTACTACCTGCGCATAATTGATGCCAGGTTACTGGCATAACTGATTAGATTTGTACTATTTTGTGTGATCCCCTGGGGATCCCCAGGGGATCACCTCTCATTTTCAAAGTCATTTATCTTCCTGAGAAATCAACGGAAACGCCGCAAAATTGTACTGAGCATATACTACGGCACTGCTAAGCATGTTTTCGACAGAAAAAATGGAATCTGAAGATTGTGAATTTTTCGATGATCCCTAGCTTTTGAGCCAGGGATTACCGAAGATTTCGATATCCTGAGATTTCACTGATTTTTACTTTAAACATGCTTAGCAGTGCCGTAGTATATCCTCAGTACAATTTTGCGGCGTTTTTATTCATTTCTCAATAAGATAAATGACTTTGAAAATGAGAGGTGATCCCCTGGGGATCCCCTGGGGATCCCCAGGGGATCACACAAAATAGTACAAATCTAATCAGTTATGCCAGTAACCTGGCATCAATTATGCGCAGGTAGTAGGGTATGAGGACCTTCATAAGCAAGATAGAAAAGGAAGAAGAAAGATACGTAAAGTAGCGAGATATGACGCATCCCCTCTCAGATCCCCTCCCCTCCCCAGCGGGGATGTACGTGCATACGGGCCTAAAAAGATTCAATTGCCTAAAAAATTAAGAAAAATAAAGAAAAATAACTCAGTTCCTTAAAATTTTACAAGAATTCCAACTTGCTCACGTAAGCACAATCCACATAAGACACCTATATACGCTGTTGCCGTATTTTTTTCTCTGTTAGAAATCAAGAAAACCGAAGTTTTCGTGCATTTGCCAAAGCGGTGCTGTGCCGTTCCCACATTAATGGTTGTATACTGTGAACCTGTAGAAGTGCAAACGTAAATTTCCAGCTCTCTACAGGCTTTAGTTCTCGAGAAATTTGAATTTTAGTTTGAACCACATGACTAGGGGAAACTGTATTCGATATTAGAATTTTAGTTTGAACCGCATGACTAGGGAAAACTGTATTCGATATTTCTCGAGAACTAAAGCTTGTAGAGAGCTGGAAATTTACGTTTGTACTTCTACAAGATCGTAGTATACAACTATTTATGTGGGAACGGCACAGCACCACTTTGGCAAATGCACGAAAACTTCGGTTTTCTTGATTTCTAACAGAGAAAAAATACGGCAACAGCATATATAGTAGGTGCCTTATGTGGATCGGCTATGTGAGCAAGTTGGAATTTTTGTAAGATTTTTATGAACTGAGTTATTTTTCTTTATTTTTCTTAATTTTTCAGGTAGTTGAATCTTTTTAATTTTTGGCTCGAAACTCGTGGTGGAACAAAGCTGTTGCTAAAGCAAAATCGCCATCTTGTAAAACTTCCGTTGCTCTATCGAATGGCTTTTGCAACCTACTCAGAAATGAGAAGTATATGATTTATTGCGGCTGGATTTCAAAACCTGCATTAATTTCCGGACAACCTAATAACAGCACTGATACAAAAAACTCCTATTTTCCTCGAAAGACTAAATGAGTGGTTTGATCGCCAGACTGGTAGGCCGGGGATGTTGAACTCGTACTAGAATAATCTAGGGTGAAGCGCTGACTGGAAGAGACTTCATTTTCTTTTTGACTGTGAAAGCTGCTGTGCAACATTTTTTGCAGTCATTCACTTTTACAACAGGCCACAACCATACAGGCAAAAATATTTAGTAATTGCAAAGGGTTGGAAATTGTTTACTCAAGACCTTTTCTCTTTTGGTGGAAAAACTCATTGGAAGCAACTATTCCACTGACAATCACTATACAAATTCTATCGTGGGTCAATTCATTTTTCTTCTTTGACATAAAATGCTTATTATCTTCTCAATGTTGAGTTTTCAGTAACAAAACTCAGTTGTTCTGTTGTATGATTTTCTTATGCTTGTAGCAATTTCTAAAATGCTGTTGCCGAGATATGTGTAACATCTTTTGTCATTTTAAGGGAAGAAATCTTGTGCCTACCATTGATCTTTGATGAAATGCGCTTAGAGTCTAAGCCTAGGTTTTAACATCTTTTAATATTTTCATGTTTTTGTTCCAACTCAATATCCGTTATATAGCGAAACTTCTTGTAGGTGGAAGCTGATTTAGCGAAGAGGGTCAGAAAAAGGAAAATCAGCATTGATTAGCGTGCATCCAAACATTACGAAAGTTGCTTCCACGTCCATCAACTCTGTTCCTTCAAGCTCTTCTGTACAATAGAGTTTCTGTTTACCCGACACGTTTTGAAGAATTGAGAGTGTATAGTAACTGTAATCCGATTTTAGCGCTTATGTGTAATTACATACTGTAACATCTCTAAATCACAGCATTATCAAGTTTTCGTGTGATATATGGTCTGTGTTATTGAAGCTGTATAATGGATTTGTGAATTTTTCATCATTTATTATTATAATATTTATTGGTATTTGATTTTATTCAGTCTTTATTTTTATTCTCTCACTGGGTGGGCTAGTCTCTCGTCTGCCCCGAATTTTCGCTTTACTAAAAATCAAGTGATATTTTTACAAGCTAATGCGTTCGCTCAGCTGCTGACGAGCTTCTTGTCCATTCAATGGAATTGTGATATATTGAAGGGCTTTGTTCATATTTTTACGAATTCACCTATTGATTGAAACCTTGATGTGAACATGGTGATGGCGCTGTCTACTCTCTAAAGAAAGTTTAGTTTATAAAACATTTTTAGATGCTCAGCTATCCATTAGTTGCTGCTCGCAGCACGACTTCATGCTCGAAGGGGGTGTTAATCGCGAGTCGCAAGTTGATTTCATTACCCGAACGCTCCAGCAAACTACCACGATGCTGGGCGATTGGCGGCCACATCAAGCGGAAAAGCTCATCGCCAAAGCTCCCTCACTTGAACTGAACAGATTGGGTTGTTGACGAGCTGAAGATGACTGATGATAAGTATGCACTGAGACTTGCTTTTTTATGGGTGTTGAAGATGTAAAGAGTTTCTCTTGATTCATATTGCACTTTTTGACTATATTTGCATCTACTAGTCAGTTTCGTATGGTGTAGAAATCCACCAGAAACTTGTCGATTGCAGTCGTGAAGCTGGTGTAGTTTCAACTTCGTAGCAACATGAGCTCCAGGAATGCCCTAACCCATTTAGCAAAGTGAACTCAGATGAAAATCCAATTTACGAGATATCAACGGGCAAATCATACATAGAAGGACTTTTTTATTGGACATATTCGGGCTTTTCCCTCAAAAGTTTTTTGTTCGTGATCACACCCTAGCCACAGGCAGAAGCAATAGCAGTTGTAGTTACGATAGAGACTTTTGACAAGATGGTTGATAATGTCAATATAGTCATCGTGAAAGTGAGATACAATAAGCAAAGTTAAAAGCATACAATGGAATTCGATTTGTTAAACTCAATAAGAATAAGTCATACATAGTTGAAGATAGCTTTAGACCTAACTTGCACAGGGTGCGTAAAATACTGGTTTGTTGTTTGTTTGTATATGTGGATTTTGAGCATGAATCTTATTGCCTGGCTTCTCGTTAGAATGACATTAGTTTCTGCTATAAGTTTAAAGCTTGAGTAAAAGTTCATCCTGGTTTTTGTCAGTTGGCAATGTTGGTTTTGTTGAGATTTACTGCAAAGATAAGATCTTGTGGGAGATAATTGTAATGGATAAAGTCCTGGAGAACTTGGTAGAATATCGCTACAAAGGTTAGTCGAGAGCAGAAAAGGCAAAAATACGCAATTTTTGGCCTGTAAAATGGCGAATATAGGGTTAAAATCATGTTAACAGTGATCGTTTCCTCATGAATCATGTTGGCTACTGATTGCTTGAAATGTAAAAATGATAAATATATGGTAAGACTGATCAAATAGAACTCCAAGGCACTTACTCGAAGAAGTTGACAGGGCAAAACTATCAGTCTAATATATGAGGAAAATCTTCGAAAGAGGTATATGCAATGTTTATGTAAATTCAGTCTACGCGCCCTGTTCCAAACTGTTACAGGTGTCCAAAAAACAAACTTGATTTGTCGTAGAACTGTATGCATTGTATATATCAAGAATTCTTGACTATAAAGAACATGTTAACATTTTCAATAGGTAAGCCTTTGATAAAGCCGAAACATTAATTCAGGAAAATTCCGAGGTTGAGTGTGGTCAAGACATTCAGTGTGCAGTGCTGACCCTCTCTCCTATATCGAATGGTTTAAACCATCCATAAAACAATAGATATGCAGTTTTTCAATGCTACTGTATCTACTTTGCAAAAGGAGCTTGAACCCACACATCCCAGATAATTATCATCGACCACCCTTCCGATAGCTATAAAATTCAGTTCTTTCCGTCTCTTGCACCATCAGTGCAGTACCGAGCATTTACGAGATCGGCTGCACCATTCATTGCGTCAGCGTCATGTCGAAAGATGAGACTAACGTCCGCTTTAGCCTAATTGAGTGGATTGTGCTCTTAAAAGCTTTGAAGCAGCGAAATAATGTCGTAAATCGGAAGCAGACTGGATGCTGGCGAAATGACAGGTGAGTTGAATGCACGGCTCATATAGTGAAGAGAATGAAATCGATCACATTTATTGCAAAGAATTAGAGCTTTTTTCACCGGTTTGTGGTTGATTAGAAATAGTTTTCTCACGACGATCCTGATCTGCTTTCTTCCATTTCGTTCGCCGATTCTGGAACCAAATTTTCACCTGCAAGAATAAAACATAATTTTTTTAAAGTAAGAAAACAGTGGATTTACAACTTACCTGTGTTTCGGTCACATGCAGGTTTTTCGCAAGTTCGCTCCGTTCTGTGCTTGAGAGATATTTCTTCGTCTCAAACCTTAATAGTCACCTTTTGTCTGCTTTGGGCTTTTTAAAAAACAAAAACGATGTACTAGGGTATCCAAAAGTTTCGCATTTACGTCAAGGGCTGTTACTCTTCAAAATAAGGGTTTTGAATTGAAAACCGCAAAATGTTTCTTATTTTGAAGAGTTGAGTTTTTTAACGCAGAGGTAGCTTCGCAAACATAGTCTGCGTATTGCATCGAAATTTTGAAGTCAGGTCGATTACAAATATTTCCAGCATGGGGGCTCAATCAGAAAATTTCCCACAGTGAAATCTGCAGCCTAAGTTAAAAGTTCTCCATGGCTCAAAATTTCTAATCCGTTTTTCTGGGACGGTTACGAGGAGGAAGGAAACATACTGTTTCTCCAGTTCGAAAATTTGCCTTCCGCTAAATGTTGTTCTCGCTTTCTTCTTCTTCGCTGGTCTGCTGTTATTATTATCTGATTGTGGAGTAGCCTCAACTAAATCTAATCATACTCTAACTCTTCAAAGCTTCACTTACAACTTACTTACCGCTTCTTCCAAAATCATCTAATTGCGGCAGATCTTCGTTGATGCCCAAAATGTCCTTGATTAAGTGCGAAGCTCTCTTCTGGGGTACGGGTGTGCAGGGGTAAAACGATAGGTATGGCAGAATACCACCACCAAAGAGCCCGAATGGGTAGGTCATCGTGAAGAAGCCGTCGAGTTGAATTTGGGAGTACTGTAGCCACCATGGCCACCGACCACGCCCAATGGACGGGCTCAATTGCAAATGAAATCAAGAAATCTTCGTCTTGGGAGAACTCGGCCGCGAATTGAAGCACCTCAATCAGTGAAGATTACCCAGCAAATGCTTTGCTTCAGCAAATCGCCGAGCATTGGACTTGCGCTGACAAGGCGATCTCATCAACTTCCAGTATCTGACGATTACAAAAAACAGCTGGAAATTTTTTTTTTGAAAATTGGCAAACATACAAATTGCTGATAACCAGACATGCTCATTAGTAGAAAGATGTAAGGGGATGAAGAAGTTTGTGGATCTTTATCTTTGGCCACTTCGTTTTTTTTAGCTCATCATAACATTCACTTGAAGGAATCATGATCTTGCAAAGCAATGCCGATGAAAATGTTAGAATCGAAACATCTACCAGGTCGGCCCATAAGCTCTGCACCGAAATTTTTGGAAATGCGAGGTTTTTTTTCCAATTTCTACAAAACTAGTCTGAGCATGCAATTTTCAAAAGTATTGCAAGCAAACATCCATTTACATATCGGAATTACAAGCCGATAAAGTTCTCTGATAGTACATATTTCTTTCATATTATTTTTGCGAAAGAGGCAGCTAAAAATGCCAAAGTTTCAACAAAATCCACTTTTAATGTTGAAGCGTTTTTGTGATCTGCTCTTCTTAGTCGATAGAAGTACGTGCTTATCGCTGCGTCTACGATTAGTTTATGATATTGGAGACATAAACGACTTAGTTTCTACTTGTGAATAAATTTTGCCGCCACGCCCCCTTTTTCTAAAATTTTGAGGTCAGGGGCCGCAAAAATTTTGGGCCAGAAAATTCTTTGGAGTGACGCCACGCACCTTCATCCGAAAAAAAATTCGTCGCCCCCCCCCCCCCACTCTCGAGCGAAAATCCTGGGTACGCCACTGGTTCCGGCAACAAAATAAGCTGTCTGTCAACCATGAGAACAAGATTCGAAGAAAGTTGTAAGCTCTTAAAAACGAGGTTTCCAAAAGGGATACTTTCCGGTTTTTTGACGCATGGTTTTCTTCCCGGTTGCGATATCAGTATGGGCAGGTATGCAATAAGTTAAGAAAAATTTTTTGTTCTGATCGTTCTACTTCACTCAAAAATATGAAAATTGGACAAAGTTAACACTTTTCGGACCGGTGCCGCACATGGTGCAGCACGCGTTGAAGGACCTTTTTAACGTTTACAGGAGGTTTTACTTTAGTCTAAGGTTATTAAGTAGAAGGCCTAAGCTTCTACTTTTCAAATGACTCTTAAGAGTTGTGCCGCCGATCTTTGTTTAGGATGACCACGAATCGAACAACACTTGCAACGAAATGCGACAGAACGACGGTGCGACGTCGCAAATTTCCTTTGTTTCGATATCAAAGAGAAAAACCATAGTTTCAATAATGATGTGTACCGTCCATAACATAGAACTTTCGGATACAATTAGAAACTGAGTTCGTGTTTCTACCTTTCAGGAAAGCACAGAAGTCTATTTCAGGCGACAAAATTCAAACGCTTCGAATTCACTCAGAACTTTAATTATGGATCTTATCTGACATGCTGATTACAGCTGTAGCACACAGTCTACGAATAAAGGTCCCTTTGTTGGCTAACTGCTGAAAGTACCCTCTTTTTCGCCGCGCGCGACAGTCATATCCGAATTACACTGTAGGATGTCACTCAATCAAATCACTCAGCTTTCACTTACTTCCTCAGATCATCTATGTAAAATCAAGCTGAATTTCCGTGTGCTTTTGTGGGGGCTTATGCTTCCAGCAGCATTTTTCTTGATTCTTAAGTGCGGTTCATGATTATGTGAACAAACCTTTTGAGGGTTTGGCACCTAAAGATTTGAAAAACCGCTGATGTTATCATCGGCTCCAGATTCGTATAGAGTTGTGACAGCTCGAAGCGTGGCGGTTTCCCATAACGGGCAAATATAGAAAGCAATGCTGTAAACTTGAATCAACAAGTCCATTTACGTTATCAAAGATGTTTGCAGTTTGCCTCTTACGAATCTGGGAGCCGATCACATATGATAGAGCAGAAGCGAAGACGGATAAGTGGCACAAGATGAAAATCGGAGCCGATTCTACGAATGAATTTTGCCACAAACACGAATTTTGAGCAGCTCACAGTCACATGAACACCTCAACCGAAGCTTTTTCTTTTCACTTAAAACTGCGATCTTTTTCATTCAAAATTCATTGTAAAATTACAGTGAGAAAACCTGAGATATGCGCGGGTAGAGGAACGAACACCTCAACGAGGCATCGCCTCCGCGGGCTGCTGGTCCTTTCGTCCTACTGTTGTGCATCGTGTTGGGACCAGTGGTCCGCAGAGGCGGTGCCTAATTGAGGTGTTCGTTCCTCCACCCGATAGGCGCCATACGCCGGACCCAGTGTTGTTTAAAATGATTACCTTTTTTGATAGGTCAAAATGCTTTTGGATTCGATGCACTCCAGAACGTCCATGCTTTTGGATTCGATGCACTCCAAAACGTCCCTTTTTGTGGTAAAGTTCGAATGTGTTCAAGGTTTAGTTAACTTGTTGCAAGACTATGAGACATTGTAAGCTTTCACGATGAATATGGCGTTTGCCGCCCGGAAATCCTTTGTACTTGTTACATTATTCGGCAAATCTCAACCTTACCCCAACTTAGCACATTTTTGAGCCTAAAACTCGCTTCTGCTTTTTAAAAATCCCTACAATGAAGTGAGTGCATATTATATACAAGATTGTATAAAGTTGTGTTTTTCACAGACGTCAAAAAAGCGTCTCAAAATCCCAGAAGAATGGTGACCACAAAAAGGCCTTAAAGGCAGAGTCCAGGCAGAATTTCGACTTCTATTTATTTGCCTTAACGAGGCCTTTTCAAGGCGCTGATTCCAAATATGGCACACAAAGTGTGGAATTTCTCAAAAACCCATTTTTGAGACAATTCATGAAAAGCATGGGCGAGTGCTTCTAACGCAATCCTTGTCGAAAGCAAGCATTAACACATTTCGGACCGCGAAATCGCGCGCGGCAAAAAAGAGGGTACTTTCAGCCGTTAGCCAACAAAAGAGCCTTAATTTTTAGACTGTGTGCTACATCTGTAATCAGCATGTCAGATAAGACCTATACCCAGAGTTCTGAATGAATTCTAAGTGTTTGAATTTTGTCGCCTGAGAAGGACTTCTGTGCTTTCCTGAAAGATAGGGACAAGAACTCAGTTTCTAATTGTGTCCAAAAGTATCTATGTTGTACACAGTACACATCATTACTGAAACCACGGTTTTTCACTTTGAGATACAAGCAAAGAAAAGTTGCGACGTCGCACGCGTCGTTCGCGTTGCCGCACTTCGTTGCAACTGTTGTTCAATTTGTCCTCACATCTTCTAAACAAATAGCGTCGGCACAGCTCTAGAGAGTCATTTGAAAAGGAGGAGCTTACGTTTCTCATTTGATAACATTGGACAAAAAGAAAACCTCCTGCAAACATTGAAAGGATCCTTGAAAGGCGCGTGCTGCACCATGTGCAGCACCGGTCCGAAACGTGTTAACGGGTGAAACTTTAGGTGCCATTTTGTAGAGCTGGCTTCGACTTACAAGGGAAGGAAGGTTGGTCAAAGTGGCCTTTTGAAATGAAATGTATACTGTCTCGTAGAGCTTGGAACGCTGATTCCAAATCTGCCTTCGCTATCTGCTGCGGGCTTCTGGGCAAGGAGTTATGAAGGTTTTTGAGAGCAAAAAGTTAATTGTAAAAATAGTGTGAAGTCAGTCGTAACATTTTTCCCAGGGCTTAACTAATAGTCGGGTCATTCGGTGCAACAAATATTCTTGATTCGAATATACCAACTCGCTGCTGCTCCATTTGAACGTCAAAAAAGGTTACAACTGGCTTTTATACTAATCTTGCACTTGAATTTTTACATTAATTAATTTTCACAAAAACCTACATAACTTCTCGTCCAGAAGCCCGCAGCAGATAGCAAAGGTAGAGTTGGAATCACTACAAGACAGTATACATCTCATTTCAAAAGGCCACTTTGATCAACCTTCCTTCCCTTGTTAAATTTGCGGTATGGAACGGATTACCGACTGCTCTCCTTCACTGTAAGGTTACGGTAGGAACTTTGAGGGAGGTTTTGAGCCATGACAGGCCATATTTCGCATCAGAAAGAAAAGAAAACTAAAAATTCACACGCTGGGTTGATTAGAGTTGCTGATTCTAAATGTGAAGTTCGCAACTTATCCTAATAATTCATTGAAAAGTTATGCGAGGTGCGCAGTAAGGCCGTTTTTTTATCTAAAAAGTGCAGTTACCCTTTGATTCAACTGGCTTGGCGGCTAAGACCCCGGCAGACTTCACGCGATTTGATCGTCGCGACTGAATCGCGACAAGACAGCTGTTACAACATCACTCCATGCCGATCAACTTGCATTTCGGTTGTGATATTTCGGTTTCGGTGTGATTCTTTTCCAGCCCGAAATTTTTGAATGTAAAATGAAAATGAATAGAAATCTCGGCGATTAGATCGCGACGATCAAATCGCGTGAACTCTGTCCGGGGCCTAAGGCGGGGCTTCATGACCTAATTAAGGCTAGAAATGGTCAGAGAGCAGGCGCGCGACAGAGACGCTGACTGTGCCGCAAGCGCGAGCGGCCTTAATTAGGCCACAAAGCTCCGCCTTCTAGCCTCCAAACCAGCTGAACCATTTGAATCAAAGATTACACCGTTTAGAAAGCTTGGCAATCTTGTACATAGCTGAATTTTTGAAAATTTTTGAAACGGCAGCTTTTTTCACAGTAGCACCATAAGCTTGGAATTTCTACCGAAATCCTACAGTAATGAAAAGCGTTCGGTGATTCGCTCTATACTGTAAAATTAGGCTGAAGCCAGCTCTACAAAAGACTTGGTACCAAAGCTTCTCGAAAGACTTTATTACAAGAATTGT